TATTAGCCTATAATGTGTGTCGACCTACATCATCTCCAAACAGACATTATGCATTATAGAAAGGGTTGTAAATAATATATCTAGTCATGGTGTTAAATAACAGAAGGAGTTAGAAATATGTTAATACTTAACAATTACCTACATTAATGATTTATACCTGACGCAGTTCTTTATTAATGTATACACTTCATTATTTCCTGATGTATTAAGTATTAGTCCATGCATTAATTCACTGTGATGGAAGCATGAATTATTTGTGGACCAGTACTGTAAAGTGATACCCATAGAACAGCAATCATGAGGAGTGAGTAGAAACAAATGTTCATAAAATAATGTGGAAAGGTTCTTTAGAACATTATGAGCTGGAGGCGTTGGGGGCAGTTCATTAATGTACATTTGCTCTGACCACTAACTGAAAAAATGAAAACAGACTCAGAGCAGTTTAAACCACCAGATAACCACAACTGATGTTTCCTTCTGCTGCTCTCAGACAGCAACGTGTTTCTCTTCATAGAGCTGAATAAAGACTGACTGATATAACAGACATTCAGTTCAGTTTCTGATCTAAATCACAGAACAAATAAAGCTGTTCAGATATTTAACCTGAGAAAACGTTACATTCATTATACTATTAAATTAAAGGTTACTACATGGTTCTTGGTTTGGTTTTGGTTCTATGGAAAACCTTTACTTGTTATAAAACCTGGCATTGCTCTAAAGAACCCTTTTAAGATGTAAATTTAAGATTTATGCTTTAAGCTCTCGTTATCATTCGTCAAACTTTTTTTTATTCATTTGTCTCACACTGCTGCTCCTGATGGGCACCAAACAACTACTAAACTCAGTGAGTCTTAGTTCTCTGTTTTTGTGGAAGCTCAAATGCAATCTAATGTGAGTTTGATAACAATTTTCAACAACAGCTCCACTCAGTGAGTCTCAGTGTCCTATTTAAAATGAAGGAAAGCGATAAGAAGTGCTGCCTGAGGTTAACAGTGTCTAAAACAAGCATTTTTAAGGGTCCATATCATGGATAACCAAATTTTCCTTGTTTTGTTTTGTTTTGTTTTTTTTAATAAGAGATTTATGTGGTATGTAAACAATCTTTACGTTTCAAAATGACTATTTTTAGTACCGAAACAAATGTGGACCTCAGTGGAAAAAAGAAAAACACACAAAAAAAAACTCAGGCAGTGTTTGGATCTGATACCTCTATACTCAGTGTTTTCAGTGTGAGCGCAGGTTACTCTACACACCTCATATCAAGTCTTCATGAGGTGAGTGAGGTTTGTTAGAGCAGATAAAGAAGTGTGCAGTACAGAGAGTGTGGGACTGCAGAGTGTGGGTTAAACAGAACTTCCTCAACACCTGCACCACCTCAAAGAAAGTGACAAGCTCCTGAACCACCAGAAAGGCAGCTTCGCTCTCTACCTCATCGTCAGGAGCTCCTCCCACCCTCCTCTGCTGACCCAGAGAGCGAGCCAGCGGTCCGCTGGTTTGAAAAGGTCGGCATCCCACTGACTGTTTGCTACTGCTGGTCCACCCTCGGACCGCCCAGATTACTGTCCTGCATACAAGCTCTAACTAGTTTTAATCTTCTCAAACAGATTTTAAATGCACAGAGACTCAGAGACTTTTATTTTAGAAATTAACTTACACAAATTTTACAAACAACCGGGAGAAAAAAAATAATGACTAGGCCTGATATAAAATGATTTTATAGAAAGTGTTGTTGCTGATGCTGAGCTGGATTAAAATTATTTACTAATCTAATTTACAAAGTGTAACTATAGAAAGGAAGGAAGGAAAAATCAGTAAATTGGACTATGAGTGAAAATGAGTGATGATCAGTGGAATTTTGTCTAATACTCCGCTTAACCACAGAGCCATTAGTGCACATGGTGAAGAAAGCAGCTGTAGTGTCCACAGATTTGTTTTAACAGTCCATCCTAGATTGGTGATTGTGATGGGGTTGTGGCTCCTGAAGGGGTTTTTTAGAGCTTTTTCGTAGAACCAAAACCAAATCAAGAACTGTTTAACGACCTTTAGAAAAGCACAGAGAAGTATTTTACTGTTGAAGTAGAATCTCTATGAAGGTTTACATAAAGAATCTCAATAGGAAATATTTACATATAGAGTGATATCAAATATACAGGACAGTAAAAGTGAAGAAAGAAGATGTAAAACTGAGTGGAAACAAATGTAGGTGTGTGTAGCATGAAATAATATGAAAAACTCTATTAGAATGATATTTATGAGCTGGAGGTGTTGGTGGCAGTTCATGATTTTGCATTTGCTCTTAACAATAACTTGAAAAATGAAAACAGACAGCAGTTTAACCCACCAGATAACCACAACTGACGTTTCCTGCTGCTGCTCTCAGACAGTAATGTGTTTCTCTGAAGTCCTGCTCGGGCTTAACAGTGTCTAAAACAAGCATTCTTAAAAGGCTGATGTCATGGAACTTTTTCCTTTTTTTTTGTTTTTAAATAAGAGTTTGATGTAGTATGTAAACACACCACACACCTGTGTGTCTTTTTCATTTGCTATAAAATTCTTTATATTTTAATTATATAATATTTTATATTATTATAAATTTCTTTATGAAGAAAAATAATATTTTAAAATTGAGCAGTTCCAGTTTTATCTGATCATATTTTGACAATCAACATCTAAACAAATACAAATCTAAGCAAATAAATCCTTCAAACCTGCCTATTCAATTTGTACTGAAATGTAAAGGGTTAAATTAAAGAAGCCCCTCTGTCTCCCCCTATCAGAATTTTGCTGTATCTGCTGTTGCTGGAAAGAATACTGGTGATCGGTGGTCCAGCTATAGTGTTACAGAAGGCCAAGCAATAGAAATTCAATGAGAGACCAATTTCAAATGACAGTAAGATTGACCGATCTTCCCTCTACAGGGGTGGGCTTTGTTATCGCCAACTTTATGACAAGTTCCACCCACTGTGGGGACATGCAGGCTCTAGGGACACAAAGCTAGCGATAAAAAGCTAGCTAGCTAGTTGGTTTGTGACAGAAGTGGAGAGTAACGTTACCTCTAGTGAGGAGGACATCACTGCGAATTTATTATCCATACGGTTTTCTAGATTCACTTTAAATAAAAAGTTGGATTGATCGGCAAAGGACGACCTACACCACAGCTTAATTTGGTGCAGAATTGCTTTTGAGAGGCATTTCAACTCCAGCAAATACACCATGAGACCCCTGGATGACAGGATCGACCAAGGAGCAGAAGTTTTGCTGCTGGGACTGCTTGCTTTTGGGTACGGAGAGGGGGTCTCGGGCCAGAGATGGATTTTCTGATTTAGGGCGCTTATCCAAGTCAGTCACCATCAGAACACTTGAGAAGCAATTGTTGATTAATTTAAAAGCAAAGGATCAGCTGCTGACACTGTGTAATGTAGAGGTTTATGGCAAAACAGCCATTATGCGGAATTAGTGGTCATTTTTCTGATGCTGATGTGTCTGACACTCATGGCTGCTTGGCTATGTGCTGTCATGATATAAAGGCTTGTATGAAATGATGTTGGTTATGCGTTAGGATGCCTTGACAATCATGCGTTTTCTGAAGAGCACACAGAGCTTGTATGATGAAGCGATTATTTGTAAGGAGGATTTTGCTTAAGATATTAGCTGTTTTGTTTAGGTGATGACCCTCTCTGTGCTATTTGCTTGTTGCATTTCTAGGGCTGAACTATCATCTTCATTTTTGTTTCCTAACTGTTGCAGTTGCTTAGCAGGGGAAACAGTAAATTAGGCTGTGTTTTTTTTTTTTTAGATGTGTGGGGGTGGGGGCTAAGAGGGCCGAGGTTTAAGAGTCATGGTTCACTACTGTTGATATCACAGTGTAAAGCACATGTGTCAGGATCCAGTCCTCGTGGGCCAAAGCACTGCAGACTTCAGCTCAATGCCTCATTAAACACACCTGATTCAGCTCATCAGCTGATTAGCAAGACCTTCATCAACTGAATTCAGAGGATTCTAATGGTTTGACAGGTATTCTGGCACTGATTCCACATGCATCTGATGGTTTTCTAAAAAGATTTAAAGGTGTCCTACAGGTAACTATAGGTTTCTAATGGTAACTCTTAAGCCAATTCCCATTACAGAGCAAAACCATCAGATTTGAATGGTTCTGTTGGTCTTTTTGCTACTCATCACTTCATTATTCTTGTACATATAATAATATATAAATAAAGCCTTCTCCAAAGCTTAAAGTACTTTACACGCACCCATAAAATTAAAAACAAGTAAAACTAAGATACCATCACTATCCAAAGAAAAACACACCTCTCCAGTTTTATTCCAACTGATTTTCTGTTTGTCCTTTCATCTGAAATTTTCACACAATGTAAAGGACAGATTGCAAAATAAATAAAATAAGAAATAAAATTATAGACACTGAAAGTTCAACAACAACATGCATCTCTGAAAAACTGCATGTACGTTAGAAGTTACACTCAAAATCATACAATTCCCAAACAACAAGTACTTTCTGTGAAATTAAACAGAGATTTTACAGCCTCCAAATGAACTCTGTTCAGGTTCAGCTCATCACACCTGCTGAAAATGTACAAGTATCAAAACAGAGATGTGGATTTTCTTGAATTTTCTTGAATCACAAATTTTCTCTATGATTCATAACTAATTTTTTTGACTTTGTCAATATTGATTTGTTGTAAGTGAAACTCCTGAGAAAACAAGTCCTAATTTCGACCTAATGAGTCACAGTTTGAACCTGAAGCAGCCACAGAAAGTCTCTTTTCTCCTTCCAGGCAGAAACAGCTTCAGTATAAAAGCATGTAAGACAAACATGGTTGTGCTGCGCTGGTCAGATGTTGGTGAGGAGGCTGGACGCTGAAAGATGATCTTCAGTTTGATGAAGCTCTGAGTAGAGAAGCTGCTAAACTGACCTCAGCAGCACAATCAGTAAATCTGCTCAAAAGTGTTTTACCAGTTCAGATTTGGTGTGTTTTCTTTTGCAGCATCTACAAAAGCTTCAAGGAAGAAAACACAATCTACAACAACTGAAAAGAAGGGGAACAGGAACGGTGAGACACAGTTACACTACAGTGAACGTGTTGGGTACAGTATGATTCGTCACAGAATAAAGGGAAAGATGAATGTTTCATTATTTCATACAGCTGATTATATTATATACACATACCATTTAGATCACATGATAATCACGTTACCTGTGTGACTGACTGTTCTTTATCAACAGGAAGGGGAGAAAATAGACACCGCAACAAAAAAGGTACGAGTAAATAAAGTAAGGCCACAGTCTCTTCAGGAATGATGATCACACACAGAACAGTGTGCTTTAGTAAACATTCAGCTGATGGAGCTGCTGTCAGATATGTGGTGACACTATTTGAAGGCTACATAGGGACTTCATAACTCATGCATAAGCACTGAATAACATATTTCACCATTCTTGCTTAACCTGTATGCTGTTGACATAAAGAGAGAAGCAGGTCTGAGTGTTTAGATGTGTAATAACTGTTCAGACCTGCTGGCAGATCCTGGCTGTGTTAGGGGTGGATAAGAAGCACAACAATCATTCATACAATGTTCTTTTGCAAGTGTGGAAGATCAGCACCACCAATATTGACATCAGATCAGCAGTTAAGATCACTGTGAACCTCCTGCTCATGTCACAAGGACCTTCATAATGAGCAGCATCTGAATTTACTCTCTGTTCCTCTTCACAGTCAGTAACTGGACATGGAACAGCAAGAATAGCCGAGAATCTATCCTCTGTCTAAACATGAAACATCCAAACATACTTAAATACATTCTTTAATATGTGCTTTGGCGTATTTTGCATATGTACATTTGTGGGGAACCATTTTGCTAAATGAGGTGTGTGAGAAGAGTGGAGCTGGATGAGTTTTAAGCTCATTTGTTAAATACTGTTCAAATGTTTGTGTTTAGCTGTTTATTTGTTTACCTGTTTATTTGTTGAACAGATCTGAGCTCTCCCACTGCTCCTCCTAATGTGACCCGCTGTTCTTCAGTGAGCTCCAGCCAAACTGACAGAACAAAAAGCAGAAGGAATGAACTCCAAACAACTTCACTCAGTGAGTCTCAGTGTCCTATTTAAAGCGTCCTGACAGTGACCAACCCCCAACACAAAACCCACATCACCGTCACAGCACAACACAATAAACACTATTTAAACTTCTTCTTCGCCAGCTTCTGATTTGAATTGTGACCATTTAAGGTGGAACAGCCCAGCAAGCGTATATCAGTCCACTGGCTTGATAAGGTCGGCACCCAGCTGACTGTTTGCCTCTGCTGGTCCAGCCTCGGACCACCCACATTACTGTCCTGCATACAAGCTATAACTGGTTTTAATCTCCTCAAACAGATTTCAAATGCACAGAGACTTTTATTTTGGAAAATAAACTAGGATAAATATTAAACAACCGAGAGAAAAAGAAATAATGACTAGGCCTGATATAAAATGATTTAATAGAAAATGTTGTTGCTATCACTGCGCTAATTTACACCAGTGGTTAACAGCATCTAACACAAGCATTCTCATGCAAAATCCACATTATTTATAGTTTCAGTCTCAGAGCTGTTATTTTCAGTGGTCAGAACTGCTTTAAAACTGAAATCAAAGCAGCTGCACAGGTGTTTGAACCCACACGCTGCAGGCCTGCACGCTCTGCACTGCAGTCAAGTAAAGGCATTGTTACATTTTTCTTGAATTGTATTTCTCCCTCTTACATCCACTTGTTTGATGTTTGTGTGGTTTTATGTATCCCAAACCGTCATTAGTTTGTACATGAGCATTTTCTCTCTTTATCCCTCAGAATTAAACAGGCTTAAACAGCTACTGCGTCTTTAAGACTGATATATGTAAATTAGCTCTTTCTGTCAACTTGTTTTGTCAAATAGTTCTGAATGTGTGGATATTATGTGCTACTTATATATAAAGCTTGCCTTTTTGCTAATTATTTATTTAACTATGCTACAAATAAAGGCATTGTTCTTATGTTGTATGTTAAAATGTTTACATTAACAATAGTAAACAGCCGATGTGTTTTATGTTCCAGCTCCCTCAGCGGTCTCAAATACCACACTTACACCTGCATCTGCAGTGATTAACTCAGGTAAGAGTCCCACTATAACTACAGCACCACAGCAATCATTACAGGAATGATCATCTTACAGCTGAACACTGGCGACCAATGTGAAACCTTTTCATAGTATATTTACATTTCTATCCAAATTAAATTAAAATATTTAGACTTTTGCTCTGAGCGAGTCAGTTACTTAACATTTATTTATTTATTTATTTATTTATTTATTTATTTATTTATTTATTTATTTGTTCATTCAGTTCAACAGTACTTAAGACCAGTGTACATTGTTACTGCAAACACACAAGAGTTTGTCTGCTTTGTGTTCTACTTTCCTCAGAGTCTAAAACCACCATGTCCACAACTCGGTCCTCTTCAGGAAGTGATGGTAAGACACCAACTGTCTAGCGTGTTATTTTACAGAAGGCTTGCAGGCTTAGTTTAAACCTGTTTAGTTACGGTGGCAGGTTTTTGGGTCATGAGATCTGCTGTATTGCTCTACAGGTGGACATGATTCCTAGAAGTAGGAAATTCTTTTGTAGGACTGTTCTTTGTTGGATATCCTTTTGTAGGCTATTCTCTTTTTGGGACATTCTTTGTAGGACGACCCTTTGTAGGACATTACATTACACAACATTCCCTTGTAGGACATTCTTTTTGAAGGACATTCAGCTTTTGGAGATCATTCTGTAGGACCTTTTCTTGGACATTCCTTTGTTGGACATCCCATTGTAGAACATGCCTTTTTAGGACACCCCATTACTGAACATTCCTTTGTAGGACATCCCATTGTAGAACATTTCTTTGTAGGACACCCCTTTATGGACATCCCCTACAGTAAGGATGAGACTGATGAATAATAGAACTATGGGTAAATAGTTTTTAAGAGTGGAGCTGGATGAGTTTTGAGCTCATTTGTTAAATACTTTTCAAATGTTTATTTGTTCATCTGTTTATTTGTTCACCTGTTTATTTGTTGAACAGATGAGAGCTCTCCCACTGCTCCTCCTAATGTGACCTGCTGTTCTTTAGTGAGCTCCAGTCAAACTGACAGAACAAAAATCATGCTTTGTACGTCAATATTAAAACACAAAATAATATCATACACCTTCAGTATAGAGAGTTAGCCTTATTGTCTATTACAAAGGCATCTTTTTACCACTGTGTCATTTAAATTCTGTCTGATCCACATGTTGCTATAAATATTTCAGCAAAGTGTCTCAATATTAATGAATATAATGATGAATAAAGTAACAGTTCTGTGAACAACCAGATTCACATGAATTTGATTTTCTCTGATTGTCCACTTCTCTTCTAAATGCAGTCGGTCAGCCAAGACATGTTTGGCGTCCTAGTCTTGCTTCCATAGTCTATAACAGGAGTATCTAGGCTAACAGTGCTAACAAACACTAGAGGTAATTAGTCACCAAAACTAATATGTTTCCACAAATATATGTCAAAACCAACATATCGGTGTTTTTCGAACAAAACCTTGTATCTCTAAAATGGTAACTTTTACAGGAGGAGGAAAAAACATACTTTACTTTCAATGTAAGTCAATGGAACCAGAGTTTTTTTCGAAGTCATTCATCACAAAATTTACACACAATATAAAGAGCAACAGGTATTTTCAAATTATAATAAAAACTGAAAAACGACAAAAATGGTATTTTATAGAGGTTTTCTTCCAACGACAGCGATACATTTGCTTCAAATTGTGTTGATAAGCTCTGTAAACCTGTTTAAAAAAGAATTTAGTGAAGGGCTCATTTACACATCTAGGCTAAAACTGGAACTACACCCTTAAAAATTACACTTCTTCACAGGTGTCTCAAAAAGACTTTCTCTGATGTGCTGCATGTAAGTTTGGGGTTAGGATCAAATTCATACAGTTCCCAAACGACCTGAGTGCTCTCAGTGAAATAAACACAGATTTCCACGTGGACTCGACACAGAACTCAGCTCATCAGACCCGCCGAAAACAAATGTGTTTCAAAACAGAAACATGGATTTTCTTGTGTTTCTGAACCATTTTGCCAAAACAAAGTCTTATTTTCTCAAAATAATGAGTTATTAGATTAAAATAATCACATTTTCTAGATGAGAAATAACTCATCTTTTTCTAAACGTTATTATTTATTTGCTTTGTCAACAAACAGGTCATTATTTCCACCTAATGAGTCACAGTTTGAACCTGAAACAGCCACAGAAAGTCTCTTTTCTCCTTCCAGGCAGAAACAGCTTCAGTATAAAAGCATGTAAGACAAACATGGTTGTGCTGCGCTGGTCAGATGTTGGTGAGGAGGCTGGACGCTGAAAGATGATCTTCATGATGAAGTTCTGAGTAGAGAAGCTGCTAAACTGACCTCAGCAGCACAAAGTATCAGGAAATCTGCTCAAAAGTGTTTTACCAGTTCAGATTTGGTGTGTTTTTTCTTTTGCAGAATCTACACAAACTGAAAAGAAGGGGAACAGGAACGGTGAGACACAGTTACACTACAGCGAACGTGTTGGGTACAGTATGATTCGTCACAGAATAAAGGGAAAGATGAATGTTTCATTATTTCATACAGCTGATTATATTATATACACATACCATTTAGATCACATGATAATCACGTTACCTGTGTGACTGACTGTTCTTTATCAGCAGGAAAGGGAGGAGATAAACGCCCCAACAAAAAATTACTAGTAAATAAAGTAAGGCCACAGTCTCTTCAGGAATGATGATCACACACAGAACAGTGTGCTTTGCAAGAACTGACTATTTATTAAGAGTTCATCTCATTATGCCATTAACATCAACAGCACGTCACTGTTGTCGGAACAAAACCTTGTATCTTCAAAATGGTAACTTTACAGGAGAAGGAAAAAGTGCTTTACAGATTGACATGCAGACAAAAGCAAGGAAAACAGAATGAAAAGAAACAGGAAGATACAACAAATCTAGGACAAGGTCAAGTTTAAAATTAAACAATGAAGACAACTAAACTATAAACTAAAATAATAAAATTAAGTAGAATATTAGTGTTTAATAAACATATGAGTACAGTTTTAAACAAAATAAGACAAACACAAAAATACAGATAAAACAAAATACAACAAAAGAATTATGAAGTACAACATTAGGATAATTAATAGAATCTTAAGAAGTTCAGGCAAAAGCCTCAGTCCTAGTCGTACTTTAGCCTTAGAAAACACCATCAGGATCATTAAGATGGGGAGCAGCACTCAGCTCTCGAAAACAATGCTGACATAATGAGCTAAAATCACTGAGAAACACTGATAATAATTACATGACCCATCCTCCAAATGTAATACTAATTATGTCTAAGTTGACTAGTAATAGTACTACATTACCTGCATTTACATACATAGATGCGTATATAAATGTAGGTAAGTATACCTTGATCTGCTGCAGGGTCACTCTGGAATTGAACGGAGAAAGTTCGAATGGAGAGACCCAACTGATCCTCACTACCAACTGCATTTCTCAGCTGTATATTTGTTTACTGTCAGTTTAAAGTCCACCAGTTTCACTTTTCAAAACATATCTAGGCATATTGAGATAATTTTAAAGCTGCATTAAAAAGTAATTTTCATTTTTAACTGTGTTACACTCTCCATCAGACCTTCATGTGTTATGTTTGCTGCTGCTTGAAGAAATTACACAATATTACAGAAAATGTGAAATGTAATGTAAATGAAATGAAATGAAATGTAAAATTATGTCCATCAAAACCTTTCACTAAACTAAAATGTCTTTTCCTTGACCTACACTGAGAAGTCAGTATTCACTGTTTCAGGGCTCTGGATGGCGCTCGTCGTCGTGGGAGGTGTGGTTCTGCTGCTGGCGCTGGCTTCTCTTTCCATAAAGAAGTACTGGTCAAAGAGGAAAGGTGAGGATCTTCTGTGCTTCAGCTCCACATTATTAACTCCCACTGCTGCCTGTATGAAGTGCTGTATTAACTCTGCTAATGTTTTAACAGAGGACTGTGAGATGCTGTATGATGACGTCTACACTACCACTGAATATGTCACCTTTAATAAAGAACAAACAGGTAGATATCTGGAGATACTCAGAACACAGTGAATCCACAGGGTGCGGATAAACAATGGTGTGACTGAGTGATCAAGTGGTCGCTGACTGTTTTAGACTTATTTTACACTTATTTTATGCATCATCCAGACCAAGCATCTGCACAAAAGACTTATTTTGGGTCTTTTTTTTTATTTACAGGCACTATTTGAGAGCTTGATCATTTGAATGACATTATGTTTGATATGTTTTGTATGAGTAACAAACCCCAATTTGATTTTCCACAATTTCCCAACTTCTTTTTATCTGTTAGAGTTGCAGGCTGTTTTTGTTACTGCACCTTTAAGAATGATGTGTGTAAATGGCCTCTGTTCTGATTGGCTGACCTTTATTGTGCCTCATTTAAAAAGTTGTCCAGGCTGAAACACCTCAGCGTGATATGTGGAGCTAGACTGCTGTAGGATGGACAGTCTGAAGAATAGTTTAATTTAGCTATTGGAACTGTTCTATATTCAGCAAAGCACAGTGGATAGAGCAGCCTAGAATGATTCTTCAGTAAAAGTCTAAGGTGACTTCAGTTAAATACTGGCTCTAGTGGAAATTTAAGGAGCCGCCCTCTAAAATAAAAGTATCAGTCTAGACTTCTCAAGTACGGAGTAACTGACAAACTGGGGCTTATTATTATATCCAACATTTATTAGTACAGGAACTCCAGTTTGTTAGGCTCTGTTCTTCTCTTCTAAATTCTTTTGATATTCGAGTACCCACAGGAGTTAATCTGGTTATAAAGAAAAAGCATCTAAAATAAAGGGTCCTTCATCTGAAACTGATGTAGGGCTGGAACAGGAGGGTCTTTTAAGGGATCCCACATTAAAAAGGCTAAATAGAACAGTAGCACAGAACATTTGAAGCAAGCAGAGAAATGCATTTAAAACATTATTATTATTTTTTTTTTTAAATCTGTAACTTTATGTTGGATGGAACAAATGTTGCCTCTTCAGATGAGCTAAAACTACAGCTAACTGAGCCCTTTTCTCTTTGGTGGACGATGTGCCAACACTTTATTTTGTCAGGGTGAAAAAAGTTAATATTTCACTGTCCTGTTAAAACGTTAAAGTGGAGTTTCACTGAATTGTCTGTATATTTTCTGTAGTCCGGTGCTAAAACAGAATGAGTACGTAAACAGTGATTCAATATTCAAAAGGTACTTTGAACGGTTAAGAGCACCCCAGTACCCATGCACATCCCCAAATTAGATCCCAAAAAGGGAATCAGGAACTTCATGTGAAGGACAAAGGGCACAATGGGGCAGTGGGCAGTGCTGTCAGCT